TTAATCTTGCTCTGACTTAACTCTCCCCGAATACCTGGAGAACAATGATGGATTGTTTAGTTCTGTGGCGAGCTTGTTGTAATACCTCGCCCATTTTTCAGGAGTGTCTTCATTGCTACATTCCCAAAAAGGGTGACTGGTTGTAATTCTCCCCACGGGATAAAATTCTTATCCCTGGAAATTCCATTAAGCACAAACCATGGAAAAGTTGTTTCTTTTTCGTTTCTGGTGATGGATGGGAGTTCTTTCCTGATGAAAGTGCTTTCCTGCGAATAGGGACTTCCATTCCTCGTACGTGGTGTAATCAGAATTCCACTGGTGAGTTATCCATAATGATACCCTCTTTATTTAAATTTTGAGTTATTAACAGAGTTGTTGTCCTCTCAGGCTTTAAAGAGATTGTCATTTCATCTAATTAGCTCCAGCGAATAAAGGAAGCCTTCAACCATTCAGTGAGGGATTGGTCTTCACTCGTGACACCTCAGACTTTGTTCACCCATCAGATTGGTCCTCAGCCTGTTGGCAACTCCTTTGTAACTATATTCTGAAAACTTAATAAGAGGCTTCTAGCTCAGTTCAAAGAAGGCTCAAGTGACTTCCCACCTACTTCCCCCGCCAAGAGGAAAAAAGAGAAGCCTGCTATTACGGCACAAAGAGTCTTACCTATTTTAGTTGTTTCTCCACATGTATCCGACTCATAATTCCCTCAGCAGCTTGTGGATGAGACTAAGCCACTTCTTACTGAAGCAGTAATACTCCCCTCAGACCCCTACTCTTCAGCAGCATCTGTTCTAGGCAATGCTCAACTTGCTTTTAAAAAGATAAGTGAGTCTTTGTCGAAAGAGGATATAATGTATCTGAACTTTCGCCCTCCAATTGAGATTATAGACCGGCTCTTGCATGATCTCGCACGGGTTAACTTTCTCACCATCCTTTGATTTTATTTAGCTTTTCTTTTCCTCTTCATTGTAACTTTTTGTTCCTATATGCTTACAGGTTAATACACACGCGTATTACTAATCATGTCTAGTTGCAAAAGGAGGGGAACATTACAACAAAATGTTGGCTTCTACTCGCTCCAAACACCAAGCCAATTTACAGTTGGAGTGTGATAAACATGAGGCCGCTCTACAAGAAGTGTGTGGTAAGTTAGAAACAGAGCGAACTTGTCATGCATCTTATGTGCAAAAGCTCGACAAAAAGATGTCCTAGAAACTGATGGTGGAAAGATCCAATGCAATTGATGAATTTAAAGCCTCACCAACCTTCAAGGAGATTATGTCGAAGGCCTACTTTGATGGCTTCGAAGACTTTCGGAATCGTGCTGCATCTGAATTTGCAGACCAAGACTTCTCTATCATTCAACCAGATGAAGTGAGTGACTCCGAGTAGGATAAATGTGTAGCCATTCATTTACTTGCTCCTATTTTTCTCTTTATGCTTGAAACTTCTATTTCTTTGCAATTAGTTTCCATTTATATTTGTAAGGTTCATAAGAAGGATGAACAGTTATGTTTTGTCATTGCGATTGTCGCATGATGTTATTTTATACTTCATCCTATTGACATCTTTAGTTGGCTCGTCCCTTTAATAAGGAAAATAGATTAAGCTGAGTTTCACGTAGCTCGTCTCTGTAATAAGGTAAGTAGATGAATACGAGCTTCACTCAGCTCACCCTTTAACAGGGGAAGTAGATTACTATGAGCTTTACCCAACTCACCCTTTAACAAGGGAAGTAGATTACTATGAGCTTCATGCAGCACACCCTTTAACAAGGGAAGTAGATGAGTATAAACTACACTTAGCTCATCCATTTAACATGAATATCTTAACATATCAAAATAATAATGAATTATTTGAAACAATTAATCGAAGTAGGGAATACTTTATTAAAACTAAAGTTGATAACAAGGCTATTGAAGATATTCATTCGTAAAGAATGAAACAAATATTGAAACTAGAAGTATTAGCAAAAACAAGTAATAAATTGAGATTAAACTGAAATTATTTACTGATAATATTTCTTCAGATGCTCAACATTCCATGGGTGAGGCAGTGGCTTTCCCTCTAAGTCCTCCAACCAGTATGTTCTTGGTCGCTGACATCGCGTAACTTTGTAAGGCCCTTCCCATTTGGGACCCAGTTTCCCTATGGTTGAATCCTTGGTTGCTTGAGTAACTTTGTGAAGTACTAAATCTCCTACTGAGAACCTCTTAGGCTTAACCCGAGCATTGTAATACTTGGAAACCTTCTATTGATAGGCAACCATCCTAATCTGGGCTTGGTCTCTCCTTTCTTCGATCAGGTCCAAGCTTGCTTCCAATTCCTCATCGTTCTGCTTGGGCTCGTAGTGCTTCGTCCTAAAGCTTGTTAGGCCAATCTCTACAGGGACTACTGCCTCACTTCCAAAAGCTAAAAGAAAAGGGGTTTCCCCTGTGGGAGTCCTTACAGTAGTACGCTAAACCCATAGTACACTTGGTAGTTGCTCAGGCCACAGTCCCTTTGAAGCATCGAGTCGAGTCTTGATCATCTGAATGATTGTTCTGTTAGTGACTTCGACCTATCTATTTGCCTGGGGATGTCTTGGCGATGAGAAATGAATTTGAATCTCGACCTCGGAACAAAAATTTTTGAAGTAAGAGTTGTCGAACTGTTTTGCATTGTCTGTGACAGTCACTCTAGGAATCCCAAATCTACAAACAATTGACTTCCACACGAAGTTCCTTATATTGTTCTCTATAATCTTGGTAAGAGGTTTAGCTTCTACCCATTTAGTGAAGTAATCAACCATAACAATGGCATACTTAGTCTGCCCTTTACCCTTGATGAGAGGACCAATCAAGTCCATTCTCTATTGAGCTAATAGCTATGGTCTCAACATGGGAGTCATCTCCTCTGACGGTTGTCTCAGGATGTTGGCAAATCGTTGACACTTGTCGCATTTTTTAACGAAGTCAAGTGCATCTTCTGTATGGTAGGCCAATAGTATCCTTATCGGATGGCCTTGTTGGCAAGTGACGTACCCCCAGCATGGTTTCTATAAACTCCTAGGTGGATCTCCCTCAAAATGTAGTCAGCTTCCTCGCTAGAAATGCATCGTAAATACAGCATGGAGAAGCTTCTCTTGTAAAGCACCCCTTTGATAAACGTATACTTAGCCACCCGCATCTTGACCTTTCGAGCTTCTACTCAGTCTGTTGGTAGCACCCCATTTTTGATATATCTGATGATAAGATCTGCCGATTCCATACTCAATATTGCTTGTTGCACTTCAATTTGTCTCTCCTGAGATATAGATGGTTCGTCCAAATATTCCAGTGGTATAGTCTTATTGATCTCAGGTTCCAATGCAGTAGCTAGCCGGGCTAAGACGTCTACTTTCCCGTTCTCTTCTCGTGGTATTTGATAAATTGAGAATCTCTAAAAGTGATTCTTTAATTCCTCACCTTCTGTAGGTAACTCTTCATCTTCTCATCCCTTGCCTTATATTCTGCTTGAACTTGTCCAGCGACCAACTGGGAGTTGGTGTACACCTTTAATTGCTCAACACCTAGGGCATTTGCCACATTTAATCCTGTTATCAAGGCTTCGTGCTCTGCCTCGTTGTTGGTTACTTTGAAACCAAACTGAAATGCATACTGTATACTTTCTCCCTTTGGGGAGACAAGAACAAGCCTAGCTCCGCTAGCCTGAACATTAGATGACCCATCCACGAACAAGTTCCAGACTATTTTTGGGCCAATCCACTCACTTGAACCTGATTCTGTCAAAAATTGGGGTTGTTTCTCCTCTTCTAGAGGGGTAAACTCAGCTAAGAAATCAGCCACAACTGGGCCTTTAGTGCTGTTCTTGGCTTGTACTGAATATCGAACTCTCCTAACTCTACTGACCACTTCATCAATCGACAAGAGCTTTCTAGCTTATGTAGGACCTGTCGGAGGGGTTAATCTGTTAGCACCACTATCGTTTGCGCTTGAAAGTATGGTCTCAGTTTCCTAGCGGACACAATTAAAGCAAAGGCCAACTGTTCCATCCTTGGATATCTTTCCTCCGCACCCCTGAGTGCTCTGCTCATGAAGTACATGCACTGGCCTTTGGACCCCTTCTTCTTTTTGTATTAGAGTTGAATTGACAGCTGTCGTGGAGACCGCAAGGTATATGTATTATTCCTCTCCTGGTATGGTTCGAGACAGTAGTGGGGGAGAACTAAGGTATTGCTTTAGTTCTTTGAATGCCTGCTCACACTCTGGGGTCCATTCAAAAGCCTTCCTTAGAACACGAAAGAAAGGTAGGCACCTATCAGTTGACCAAGAGATTAACCTACTCAAGGCAGCAATCTTCCCTGTTAGTCGTTGTAGATCCTTGGTTGATCTTGGTGATCTCATGTCAATGACTGCACGGATTTTCTCTGGATTAGCCTCAATTCCTCTTCTGCTTGCCATATATCCCAAGAACTTTCCTTTGGAAACCCCAAAGGCACACTTGCTGGGGTTGAGTTTCATCTTATGCCTCATAAGTACCTCAAAAGTCTCCTGCAGGTCAGTCAAATGGTCTTCAGCTTTTAAGCTTTTCACCAATATGTCATCAACATATACCTCCATGTTTCTGCTAATTTGGTGCTTAAACATTGCATTCACTAGCCTTTGGTATGTTGCACTAGCGTTCTTGAGCCTAAAAGGCATTACTTTGTAACAGTACAAACCTCTATCAGTGATGAAGGCCATTTTTTCTTTATCTGAGGTGTATATAGATATCTGGTTATATCCAGAATATGCATCCATGAAACTTAGTAGTTCGTGTCAGCCATTCCCTCAACGAGCATATCGATTCTTGGGAGAGGAAAGCTGTCCTTCGGGCAAGCTTTGTTAAGGTCGGTGAAATCCACACATAGCCTCTATTTTCCATTTGCCTTCTTCACTAGGACCACATTTGCCAGCCAGTTGGGGTAGTACACCTCTTGAATAAAGTTGGCTTTTAAGAGCTTTTCCACCTCTTCTAGCCTAATTCCTCTCTGGAGTGAAAGTCCTCCTCGTTTGTCTGATAGGTTTAAAGTTAGGATTTACATTTAGGCGGTGCTCCATGATAGTTGGGTCTATACCCGGCATGTCTTCATGCGCCCATACAATTACGTCTTGATTCTTCTTGAGGAATTTTGAAAGTTCATTATTAATACTTGGGGGGAGTAAAGACCCTATACTCACTTTTTTCTCGGGCTCACCATCACCAAGGATAACCTCTTCTAGCTCCTCTGTAGGTTTCGCTCTATGAAAGTCTTGCCTTTCTCTCCCTTCCAACTCTTCAATCATAAGTGCCTCTTGTGATTTTGTTTTTCTGAGAGAGGCGACATAAAATTCTCGAGCCATTGTTTGGTCCCCTTTTAGCTCTCCCATACTATATTCGGTTTGGAAAGGCATTAGGAGATGGTAAGTAAAAGTGATTGCTTTCATAGCATTCAATGTTGTCCTCCCCAGGATAATGTTATATGATGATGGGCAGTCCACCACTAGAAAGTCCACCATTACAGTGACCTGCTTTGGATTGGCTCCTGCAGTGACTGGAAGGGTAATTACCCTCAGTGGATATACTTTGTCACCTGAAAATCCCACCAGTGGTGACTTCATGGGGCGGAGCTTCTCTCGGCCGATTTTCAATTTGCTGTATACCCCGAGAAATAGTATGTCTGCCGAGCTACCATTGTCTATCAGTATTCGTCGCACAGTGAAATTAGCAACGACCATGAAAACTACCAGAAAGTCATCGTGGGGCTGGTGAATTACCTTGTCATCTTCTTCAGAAAAGTTTATGACTGGCTCCTCAACTCGCGGTAATTTTGTTGGAGGACTTGTCACTCCAACGTCATTAACCTCTAAAAAATTTCGAATTCTCCCGGCATGTGCCCTCCAAGCCGAACTCGTCTCCCCACCACCAGCGAAGCTGTAATACCTCAATATTTTAAAGGATTTATTAATTGGGGTTAATTACTTATATTTTATTTTTAAATAATTTATTTAATTTAATTGGGTTTAATTGATTTTATTTTATATTTTTATATGATTTGTTTTTATTTAATTGAGTGCTTAGATTAATTGCCTTATTTTAATTAGATTATATTTCGTGATTTTATTTGTTGAATTGATATGATGTTTTGCTTTGTGGAATGTTTCGATTGAATTGTTTATTTGAATTGTGTGTATTTATACTTGTGTGAATTGTTTTTTAATTATTTGTTGTGTGAATTGTTTGTTAATTATTTGTAATTATTAGATTTAATTTTATTAATTTAATTGTTTTATTTTAATTGAATTGGGCTTAAGATGAGTGGGACCAATGGATATGGTATTGGGCTTGGATGAAACATTATTGGGTTAATTAATAAAGGCCTATGGTTATTTGATTATTTAAATGATCATTTTTGGATAATTATAAATATATATAAAAATAATTAATTTATAAGTGTTATGGAATGATATATATATATATATATATATATATATATATATATATATATAGTATATCGATATACTATATATATATATATATATATATATATATATGTAATATAATATATATTTATAGATATATATTATTTAAAGATTATTATTTTACTTCATGGTCCTAATTGAAATAGGATTTGGATTTTAATGTGTATAAATATACACATAAGGCTTTAGGGTTAAAAGTTTTATATGTTAGAAAAATAAGAGAGATACACAGAGAAAGAAAAGGAGAAGGCTAACAAAGAGGAGACCGGATTAGAGAAAGAGGACGCCGGAATTGAAAGTGACAATCAAAGTTTGAAGCATCGGTTTCATTTCGAAACTTCAGGCGAGTTCTTCTCTAACTTTCTTCTTAGATCTCATAAGGATTTCACCTTGAATATCAAGGCTTTAGATTTAATTTACTAATTTAAATCATGGTTGGAACGGATTAATCAAAACTATTAAGTTAATTTATTTGATTAAATCATGGTTAGAACGTATTAATCAAAAGAATGAATTATTATATTTTATTCTTTTAAGCTTTAGATTTTAAATTGTTAGATATAATAATTGATTGAATCATGGTTAGAACGGATTAATCAAAAGAATGAATTATTATATTTTATTCTTTTAAACTTTGGATTTTAAATTGTTAGATATATGTATTGTATTTATTTAAAATTAATTGTTAAATTTGATCTATAACCCAAGAAGTTAGTTAGGGTTTATAGAAGTTTTGGAAATTTTCTGGGATTTTTCTGTAATTTTCTGGAATTTTTCTATATTTTTTAGGATTTTATTAGAATTATTTTCCTATATCGATTTGGAAATTATATATGTTTTTTTCTATTATATATATATATATATATATATATATATATATATATATATATACATATATACATAAGACGAGACTTCTGTAACGTAGTCGGCGCATCAACAAGGTATTATAATCCTATGTGGTGTGGCGTAGAATAGGTTGGTGGATAAATTGATCTTGGCCGCCGAGTGGGAGTTAATGGATGGAAGATGATCTGGTGTGGTCTGGTTCCATGGAGTCTCAGTGCACCGCATAAAAGAACCGTAGATTAAATCTACTCAAAGGAAAAGAATTTGGTGCGGTACGAACCATCAAAGTCGATGGACAAGTGAATCATAGTGCGCCACGTGTTGTTTTTAATCTGGTACGGTTGCGCTCACAGTAGGGATTAAGCTCAACCTATTATTATTCTCGTTTTATTACTCAAAGTTTAAACGGTCATAACTTAGTCATCTTAAATCCAAATTAGGTCATTCTAGAGCTCAAATTTAAGGGTTTTTCGTCCTCTTTCCAATGGTATCAATTTCATTTTCAGATTCCCATCATACTAGGAGATATTTATATTTTAGTAAGACGATGTCGGAAAATTATTTAAACCGAGATGGAGTATTTATGGGAAACTATTTCTGACGATGTTTATGTAATACCCCTAATTTTAAAAAGATAATCCTGGTATTTTAATAAATTATTTAATTGCATTTTTGTTTGTTTACGTGCATTTTTAATTATTTAATTGGTTATTTGCCTGTTGAGTTGAATTAATTAAATGAATTGTGTTATTTGTTTTATTTAATGAAATTACATGTTTAATTTGAGTATTGGTTTAATTGTATATTTTATTTTATTGAAATGAATGAAATGTTTTAATTAATTAACTTTCTTTTATTAATTGCTAGCAGACATAGTTTATACATTAGGTTTTGTTTTATGGGCCGATTAAGTGTCAGTTTAGGGTTTAATTGGACTTAGGTATTATAGTTGTCTATAAATACATACCATATGTCTGCTTAGGGTTTTAGAACCCTATTCATGGCATAGTGAAGGCAGAGAGACATTTAGAGAAGCGTGGGAGAAAACAGAAAGGGAAAACAGAACGTTCGCCGGAAACCTTAGGAAGACGACGCTGAGATTTTGAACCGAAATCTCAAAGGCAAGTTCTACTCATAACTCTCTTCCTTTGGCTCGTGTTCTTTACATGTCTAACTCAATTCCAGGAGTACTTAAACATTAAAATTAATTTGGTTTTGTATGTTGGATTTGGTTAAATCAGTACGTGTTCATGAATCATATATTGCTTGTTTTAAATTTTTCTTGCATGGTCCATGTTTTAATTTATGTTAATTAATGAATAAAAGATTTAATCAGTTCTGGAACACCTTGAGAAAACATCAAACTTAATCTAGTTCGCATGGGTGATCACTTGAACAGTACGTTCATGAATGGATAATTGTTCCGGTTTAAATCATTTTTGGAATAATTCATGTTTAACTAATGTCGGTGATTGAATAAAGAATTTAATTGTTTCTGGAACATGCTAGGATCTAATTTAAACACCTAGGAACCCTAGGAATGGAGGACAAACGTCTGGGAAGTCGCCGGACTTGAAGACGAAAAGGGAACAGGAGGAGAGCCGGCTCCCGTTGGAAGGGAGCAGGCTCCCCTAATCAAAGAGCAGGCTCCTTCCAGGAGGGAGCCGGCTCCATGCACTAGGGAGGCAGCTCCTTTGAATTTTTTTTGTTTTTTGGCTTTTCGGTGACCTGTTTGGGCTACGGGGCTTGGATTCTGGAATTTTTAGATTCTGGTAGAAGCTGTATTGGGGTGTTTGGAGATGTTCTAAGCTTGATTAAAATATCTGAGAGAAGATTTATGCAAAATAAAACAACTGTTGTTCTTAATGCAACAGTAAACAATATTTAAACAAATCAGTTTACTATTTCTGGATGAAAGGATTTCAAATTGCTTAAATTTTGGGATAGCAGTTCTTAGTAATAAAATTCTCAGTTAATTCTGTCCTAGTGTTATAAAAATAAGTGTGTGGATTTGTATATTCTGGCTGCTTATTTGGAACTAAGTTGGTTTACGGTTTTCTCGGTGGAAAGGATTGCAAGTTGTTTAATTTTAGTATTGCAATTCCCAGTGATGATTTTCAGTTAATCACGTTCCAGTATTATAAAAATAAACCTGTGAAATTTTATATTCTGTTATGCTTACTTAGAATTAATTGGTTTACATGTATGACCTGTAGTATCAATTATTGGACTTTGTGTAGTAGTATCGAATAAGCCTGTTAATTTACAAAATTTTATCATGCTTAATATGGAACAATTGATGCTTATATTTAATATTTCTATTATCAATTGTGGGATTTATGGATTAGTTGATATTTACACTTATAATCTGTATTATCAACCGCTGGATGTTTGGATTATATGCACCGGTATGAGACGGTTGCATACTAGGGATGGATTAACGCAAATTGCTAAGTCCTATCTATTTTGGAATAAGGGTATGGATTATAAAAATAGAATCCTCTTTATATGTTAGTCTGTGCGACCGTATAAGCTGAACGAATAACTAGATTTCTTACGGATGGATATGATAGGATTTTTCAATATATTTATGGTATCGCGATATGAACTTGAGTCTCAGAGTCGACGGTTAGGGAGCGTATATGTAGTAGGACGCGTAGCTGGATATGATGGGTTGAGGAATACCCTGTTAGGCTTAGGTACTCATGTCCACTCAGGTTCGTTTTGCATGTTGCTTTATATTCAGGTTGAGACCCCCTGCATAGTCCAGTGAGAGTCCCGTAGTGTGGATATATATATATATATACGGACTATATAGCTATTGTTGAATTGGTTAGGATGTACATGCGTATTGAGTCTCTGCTTGGATTGTAGTAGGATAGAACTTATTCATGGGCCTGACCCACTTCTATTTTTTAGGTGTTCGTCAGTTCCAGGCGTAGAAGTTGTTCGTGGTGAGCAGTGATAGTCACTCATTCTTCTGACGACGTATGATCTCTCTTCATGATTTAGTTATGGATTTCTTTTAGTTTTACAGTTCAGTTTGGATTTTCTTTTTAGGGGTCCACTGGATGGATTCCCGAAATGTTAAAATATTGGAGGTTTTGGATTTTAAGTATTTAATATTTAAAGGATTATATTTTAGATTTCTTTCAGCTTTGAATTATTTATTTCACGTTCCGTTTTGTAATCTATGTTCATTTAAATATTAATTGTTTTATATTTCCCTCGAGTTTGGGATTGGGCCTGATCAACCCATGTCTCAGATCCGAGGGGTATCACAGTTTAGTAGCATTTAAATTACGTAAATATAATTAAATTAATATATTGTTATGGAAATAAGTATATATATATATATATATATATATATTTCTATATATGTATATATGGTTTAATTGTTTAGGATCAGTATGGAGGGATGTGCGTATATATATAGATATATATATGTATATATATTATTTAAATAATTAAATATTATTATGGATGGTATTGTACATATTTATATATTATATAATATATGTGTATGTATATATATATATATCATTTAAGAAGATTAATATTATTATTATTATTTGATATATCTGAATAGACTGGTTATTAAATTAG